ACTGATATATGATTTAACATTTCTCTTTATGAAGCCTGAAATCATAATCACACATTTAAAGTAATGCTAATGTTTAAAGTACAAGTGATGTATAATAGATCATTTGCTTCCAAATAGTCCTACATTCTAGTAAAAAACACAAACAAATCTGAACATCAGCCCATATCCTACAGTAATGCAGGATACAGTACTGCAGGAGACCAACGTAACAGGAAATAGTTTTTTCCTGTTACTGTAAAGTTTCATACAGAAGAAATAAACTATTTGCCTACCTTTAACAAATGAGCTTCCATCTCCTTTAGCCATTATGAGATCTTTTCACTGGTATACATATATAGTTCTCCTCCTAAGCATGGATTAAGTAAGGATGAATTGTCTAGTAAGGATGGATTTTCAGGAAAATGAAATGAATTCATCAAAAAGCTTTCATATTTCATTTACTGGGTAATTGGAGGAGTCCCAAACCTAGGAATTTCTATGGGATAAGTGTAGTTGTTAAGTTTGCCCCCTTTCTTAAAAGAGAGTCATGGTCTTCTTTAACCCTGAAAATTCTACATTGACATGAAAGCATAACAATGGAAGTGATTCAAGAAACATTTTAGACAACGGTGTCCTATTAAAATTTGGCTAAATTTGTGTTAAATGTGCTAAGATCACAGTGTAATTCTAATCCTGATTATTCAGAAGAAATTTGCAAGGTGATCAGTGCGGTTCACTCCAGAACAGTATATTACAATCCCTATTCTCTATCAAGCTTGGTCAGTGCATCTGTGCCCCCTTGTTAAAATCTTTCAAAAATGTAAAGAAAACATTGTAATTGTGCAATTAGTTATGTTGCAGTGCATTACACTGCTCACTCTTACCCTGTGGTTGCTTGATGTTCTCATAGTATTGAGCAATAGAAAGTGGAAAAAATCATTGTAATGAGTTCCCTGACCTCAGTCCCACAAATCAACCTGAGTAATTTAAAGAGTTATGCTAAGGGCTCAGATTTTCAGGTTTCTCTGATTCTTCCCATGAGATATACTGTGGTGCCATTGTGGGGGAAGTCTACAACTTTCATTTAATAGCTCTCCAAAGAATTTATAAACCTAGATATTAATTATTTCTTCTGTGCATCCATATTCAGAACAAAGAGGCAAGATTCAAATACAGTATAAGATAAACTTCAACTGCCACTTTATTTGCCATAACAATAAAAAGAAGCTCGTGATAAGTGGTTGATAAATTAATTGATTCCTAACATTCCCTGAGTCAAATGAAATGATTGACTGCTACCATTAATATGTAGCCTGGGCTACAAGTGAATCGCGACCATTCAATATTAAGATTCTCAGTGAGAAATCCCAGGATTTCTGAAATTTAGGAAGGCAAATTTGGAGGAATTTTTGATAATACTTATCAGTCATTCAGTTTTTAAACTCCATTTCTCACTGTCTTCAGTTATTGTGTCCAACCCAAGAAATAAATCAAATGATTTGATGCCACTTTTTGGAAAAGTTTCATTATTCACAGAACTAGTATAGCAGGTGGGTGGGTTAATTTTCTTCATCCAGTTTGGTCCATGGAATTCAGAATAATTGACTGGTCCCATCATACCACCCAGATGAAGGGATGAGACTCCCTTCCTTCCTTCCTTCCTTCCTTCCTTCCTTCCTTCCTTCCTTCCTTCCTTCCTTCCTTCCTTCCTTCCTTCTTCATAATCGTTACTTGTATCATTCTGCCAAGTATTGAGAAATGCACTGATGAGGTTCTGTTCCCTCCAGCAGCCAGAGCAGAAATGGCCAGAGGTGCATGGTAAGGTCAATTAGTACTGATTTTTCACAGACTCCTCCATGCAATATAGAATGTCTATATAGGAAGTTTGCTTCTCTTTTTCTAAGAAAACACCACTTCCCAATTAGACCATCTCATGTGTTGACAATGTGATGGATAGTTCACTATGAGGAAAATCCTCAAAAAGGGATAAGTGGACTGTCTTGCAGAAGGGTAAGGAGGTTGTGTGAAGGAAAGTATATCAATATATCAGTGAGAAGGATGGGAGGGTGAGTGAGACAATGGTGTGATGTTTTTGTTTGGCTTTGTTTTCTTCCAGAATCAAATGACATATGAAGATAGCAATCTAATAGAAAGGGCACAGAGTAGGCTGTGTGACATTTTGCAATCAGTCAGAGAGGATTGATGAAGGTGTAGAGAAGAAGAAGAGAAGAGAAGAGAAGAGAAGAGAAGAGAAGAGAAGAGAAGAGAAGAGAAGAGAAGAGAAGAGAAGAGAAGAAAAGAA